GGGCACTATGGGTATAGGTGTCATTAGCCGCATGTGTTATTATTTTTTTTAATTTTTTTTTTATTTTTATTTTTTTATATGTTACGGTGCCCCAACTCCCTAACCTATTGTAATTGGGCAGTGTCAAAATCTAGCCGAGAGTATATCTCGTTAGCTACTGTAGTAGTTGGTGCGTGGGGAAGTCAGGGGGCCTCAGTAGTCCCGTTTGCAAGCTATGGGTGTGTGGTAGTAGTATAACAAAACATAAAATGTGAAACAGCATAATAACTAGTGCAACAAAATAGTTCATAACTTGGGTGAGCGTCTTACGTATACCGCATGGGTATGGAGGCTCTTTATCTGGATGCCCAGTCTTGAGTCAGACGAGGAACTTTCGCCGGGCCCGTTTTCGCCATCTCTGCCAGCGGGATACCCCAGTCTCCCATCAGCCGTATACCTTGTGGTGCCGACGTGATGGAGTGGAGGGAATCTTGGTGGTACACTAGCAGCTTGGCAGGGTAACCCCATCTGTAGCTCAGTCCCTGTGTGCGTAGCGACAGCGTAATTTGCGCCACAGATTTGCGGAACTGCAGTGTTTCTGCTGATAGGTCAGAGAAGATTTTTATGTTGTGGTACTTCTCAGGCATCCCTTTGTTTCTGTTTGCTCTGATGATCCGTTCCTTGGCATGGAAGAAATGCACTCTCGCTATGACGTCTCTCGCTGCGGTGGTAGGTAAGTGGCTGGGTCTCTGAAGACGGTGCGCTCTGTCTAGTAGTAGTTGATCTGGATGCAGTTCAGGGGTCAGCTGCTGGAACATATCTTGTAAATAGTTGTCTAGATCAGCATTTGTTACTGATTCCGGTATTCCCCTAAATCTGAGGTTGTTCCTCCTAGACCTGTCTTCCAGGTCTGCCAGCTTGATTTTTTGGGCTGTAATGGTGTCTTCTAGTTCCTGCATTTTGTCAGCCACACTGTTATGGGCCACTGAGAAGTCATCCATTTTGGATTCCAGGTGTGCTGTACGGGTCCCTATATCTTGCAGATCCTTTCTGAGCTCAGCTGTCAGTGTGAGCATTTGAGCCCTGAGGCTCCTCTGTACTGAGTCCGTTAGTTCTGTCATCATGCTCCTCATGGTGGCCACCGTGAGGGGTTGGTCGTCCACACTCATGTCAGGGGAGGCTGGGGAAGCGGGGGAGCCCTCCCGCGATCGCGGCGGGCCGCCATCTTGTTCCTGGGTTTCCCGCGTTTTCATCTGTGCGGCTTTTAAGAAAAAGGACGCTTTATCCGCTTTCGCGGGTTTGCTTTTTTGCCTCTGGGACATGGTGGGTACTTGCGGTAATGCTAGCGGTGGGGATCGCTCGTTAGACCGGTTTTTTTATTGCCCCGTGCGGCTCGATCGGCGGGAGCTACTCCGACATG